AACACATCAAAAAAAAAAAAAAAAAAAAAGAAAGAAAGAAAGAAAGAAAGAAAGAGAAGAAAAAAAGAAAGAAAGGCGTTCCTGGGAAAGCTCACTGTGTCCCTGGGGCCCGCCTGCCGGCCGAGTGAGCCGGAGACGCTGGTGGTGTGCACACACACACGCCTGTGGCGTCTACGAACAAATACGTACTCAGGGTCTCTTGTGAACCATGTCCTGTCCTGGCACCGCAGGAAGTGATGAAGCAGAGCGCAAACCCTGCCTTCACGGGGCTCGCCGTCTAGCCCTGGCCCTGAAACGCAGCTCAGAACAGCCAGGAAGCACCCATGCTTAGGGGCTGGCTGTTGTGATAGGGACCGGGAGGGGGCTGCAGGGAGGAGCTGCAGGTGAAGAGAAGTGAGATTCAGCTAAACATGCAGTCAGTCCAAACCTGCGGCATGGACACACACGAGCCTGGGGGCCCAGTCCTCTGTGGGGCTTGGTCTCAAGACCCAGATGTGGGAGTGAGAAGCTGAGCTGCGTTCCCTGCTCGTTCCTCCCTGGCCGATTTTGGGCAAGTCCCTTCATTGCTCTCTTGTAGCCCCACCACCCACCTCCTCCCTCCTCGCCATCGCAATGGCTTCTCCGAGCGGCAGAGGCCTTGCTTCAGATGGTTATCAGCGATGTTTGCGTGAGTCAGACGAGTGCACTGCCAGCCAGCCCTCTCTGCAGCACCGCCCAGCACCTGTGGGCCACGTGTGCACCTTCATGGCTGATGTCACCCACTTTCCACCAGTCCCCGTGCGGCTGCTTGGCGGTGGGCCAGTTACCGGTGTTATCGGCGCCACATTAACTCAGCATGTTTCACCCCAGAACGTCCCGCAGGCCGCTGAGTCTGCCCCTCGATGCACGTCCTCCCATCCGGCCTGTGGAGGCAGAGGTCGGCCTGGCCCAGTCCCTGGAGGCAAAGGCGAGGGGCCCATGGTGCCACCACGGTGAAAGGCAACACTCAGTGAGCAGACCCGCTCGGGAGGTTCCAGGTCGGTGTCTGGAGACCCCTGGAGCACGGTGAACACACGTGTGCCCCTGGCCCAGGCTGGCTGAGGCTGGGAGTGGTCGGAACCCAGAACCCTTTTGGAAATGATCATCTGTCTCTATGTCTTGCTCCCTTTCTCAGAGAGGGAAGAGAAAAAAACACTTTAAAGAAAAACTAAGACAAGAAAGAAAGAACGAAGATGAAAAAAGGCACTCAGTAAAGTGGGAGAGGCAAGCCTGTAACTGATAATTCTGCAGTGTGGCAGGCAGCGGGTACGGACCAGAAGGGTCCGAATCACTGTGAAAGGGGAGGGCTTCAGGGAAGAGGTGCCACCACATGGGTTCTGGTGGCTGACTAGGAGTGCGTTAGGCAAAGTTCAGCCGAAGGAAGGAGCAGAGTGCTTGAGCACATGCGCGCTTCGCCACGGCAGGAGTGTGCATGTGAGGGGTGCGCTTCGCTGGGGTTTGATCCCTGACGCCCGCAGAGCAGCAAGCATCGTTGCCACCCCGATTGCTTCATAGATTTTCCTGGTAAACTCTTCAAGCCTACCTCTTCAGGTAGTGGGGAGGAAAAGAAAGAGATCATTGAGTAATGAAGATGTCTCAAGGCTAGTAACCTAATTGGAACTGGAAAAAGATTAGCACTTGACTCTCAGGTTTGCGCACAGCACTGCCAAGGACAGCCTTGCCAAAGCGCAGATAGCATCGCCGACTCGTCTGGACGGGCCAGCATTGTAACCTGCGGTGGGTGGGTGAGTCTCAGCTCCGCTCTCGATGGGCGCACCCTACGCCGCTTCTGCTGGCTTCAGTTCCAGATGGAACGTGCCGCGTCACCCGGGGTCTTTTCAGCCCTGAGCAGTTCTGTTCTGCCAGGAGCCAGCACACCCTCGCTCTCGGGGGACGCTCGCCCTCGCTCTTTCTCGCCAGTCTGCAGCGTCACAGGCCTGTGCGTCCTTACCAGGCGCTGCTGGCGCAATGGTGGGCGGTTTCCTCGTCAGCCAGGTGGCCAGCGTGTACCTGTACGGGTTGTAAATTAGACGGGCTAATCTCTGTAAAACCCCCAGAGCAGCACCTGGCGTGGGACACAGCCAGGAGAGGTTAGTGGCCATCAGCATTATTAATCGCCCCGCAGAAGCCATGTCTCCGGAGAATCCACACATTGGAAAGCAAGAATAGACAAACCAAAAATAAATGCTACAGGTTTTCAGCTTTTTTTTCTCTTTAATCTTTTTTGAAAAGTGTATTTCTTTCTTCCATAAGCTAGAGAGATAGTGGGGAGAGACAGACAAGAGACAGAGACAGCACCTTCAATGAGGAAGACGTCAGAATCTACCCCAGCCCGTCCTGGGTCATGAGTGCACATGTGCCCTGTGTACTTGGGGAGGTCTCTGGATTGGAACTCAAAACCGTCCCATGTGGGTCAGCCTTGCAGAGCCTCCGTTTCACTGCTGTGCCCCCAATTCTGAGCTCCTCTTTGGTGGAGAGTAGGCCTGGGTGTCTGTTCTCCCCACCCCTGCTCCTGTCAGCCAGTGTGGGGCATTTGGGGCCTGCTAGAGATGGAGGGGACAGCATGTCCGTAGGTGAGAAGACCGCTAGTGTGGACAACAACGTCATGGAGCCACCACTGGCTGTGCGGCCCCGCTGTTCCATGGAGCTTCATGGAGACAGAGTGTAGAGCGTGCCTGGGTAACAGGTCTGCTGCCCACAGTCAGGGAGCTCGGGGATCGCACGGGGACAACAACCACAGGAGGCCGGCAGTGGGTCCCCCTCGCGCACCTCTCAGTACCGCTAGGAACATTCGACGCAGCAGCTGGGCTTCGTGTCCGAACGGCAGCACTGGCCTGACCGGCTCTTGGTGCCAGCTCAGTGTCCCACCTGGAAAGTGAGGGACGGTCCTCCCTGCCCTGACAGTTTATGCTCTCCAGCCACTTCCTGTCCCCAGCTGCACCTCGGAGGAAGCAGGAGGCCCCACCTTGATGTCCAGGCAGCAGGCCCTGAGCCCTGTTTCAGCTGGGAGGAGCCAGCAGGAGGTGGACACAGGTGGAGGTGCGGGCAGTCTCCTTCTGAAGTGGGCTGGCCGGCCGCTCGGACCTGGGCACCCTTGAGGAGAGCACGGCAGGAGGCCGGGGGCCTGATGTGCAGCCTGGGTGGAGGGCGTTGGGGTAATTGTGTGGCTCAGGTGTCCCCAGGAGGCAGAGGCAGAGGTCGAGGCGGAAGCAGCCAAGAGGGTAGTGAGCGCCTATTGATTGGTTCACCGGAATGTTTGATTCCATTTAGAAAATGGTCTATTGTTTTGATTTCCTTTCAGGCAGTAGGAAGAGAGCCAGGTGGGGTCTGTCCAAGCCGCGTGGGTGGTGCTCTCTAATTGCCGGGCTGGGCTTTCTGTGCCAATTAGGTGGCTCCTCAGACCTGCCCTCGCCGCCTTGGCTCCCACAGGGGGCGACTCACTCCTGTGCGGCCAAGCTCAGGCCGGCACAGCCGCTTTCCACGTGGGGATTCCATCTCGGTATGGCTGGTACTTTCCAAAGCCTGAACTCGATAGAAAGCAGGATCGGACAGTGACTGCGTACCCAGGAGTACGATGTCTTCCCCGCAGAGGTGGCCCTTTGGCATCCACATCTCACGTCTTCGTGGTTGTTGCTTGGTGGGAAACAGTGGCTGAGCGGAGGCCCCGCTCAGAGGAGGCGTTTCCTGAGAACCCGCGGTTTTCCTCGCGCTGCACAGAAATGACATGACATGAATCGTGGACCCACATGACAGAGCCCAAACCATAAGTTAAGAGAAGACGTAAGAGTAAATATTGGTGACCTTTGATCAGGCAAAACCTTCTTCCATCGGACCTCAAAAGCACAAGGAACACAAGAAAAGATAAAAGTGTGTAGGCGTGCACCTGTCACCCCAGCCACTCGAGGGGTTGAGGCAGGAAGACTGCAAGTTCAAGGGCAGACTGGGCAGCATAGTGTGGACCTGTCCTTAAAAAGTGACAAGGCCCAGCCAGCAGGGGGCGTGGCGGTTAAAGCACTGGGCTCCACATGGCTGACCACAGCTCGAGTCCTGGAACAGGAGGCTTGAAAATCATGCCAGGCACTGGTGCATGCATGCCGAAAATCCTGAGGGAACTGGAGGAGAGGGGCCTGCAGCATGGTCATGCTCCCCGGAGAGTGATTTCTCACTCTCTGCCAAGCACACACACCCTATGACAAAAACTAAAAGGAGAAAAAAGAAATGAAAATGACTTGATCAAAATTAAAAACTTTCGTGTTGCAAAGCACACCATCAAGAAAATGAAAAGACAGCCACGGGATGGGAACATCTGTGCGCAGCGTGTACCTGGCATGAGACATGTGTACAGAATATTCCAAGAACCCCTGTCACTCAATAATTAAAAGACAACCAAAGTTAATGGAAAGGGACTCACACAAACTGCTCTCGAAAGAAGATCAACAGCTGGCCAGTAGGCACCGGAAAAGAGGCTGCGCTTCATTCGCCGTTGGAGAAGGAGAGTGAAAACCACAGCGAAGTGCCACTCTGCACCCACGGGGCTGTCATCAAAACGGCGTGATATTAGCAAGTGCCAAGATGTGGAGGAGCGGAGGCCTCGCGTGCTGTGGGTCGGTGTAAAACGGGGCAGCTGCTTTGGAGAGCGACCTCGAAACGTCCACTGCGGAGCTAACACGATTCAGGTACGTCCGCCAGGACACGAGGTGGACACGTGGCTCCACATCCGTAGGGGGTTACTGATGGCCGGGCAAACAAAATGGGGTAAGTTCATGACACGAGGTGGCGTTTACAGAGACGCAGCAGCACGGCTGCGCCTGGGACGCCACACGAAGTGATGGAGTCGTCCCGGAAACCCGCGTATCTTACAGTGCTTTCTGTGAAGGTCCAGCCCGGGCATATCTGGGAAGACAGCAACAGCGGATTGGTGGCTGCCTGGGGCGCGGGGCAGTGGGGCAGTGGGGAGTGACTGCCGTGGGTGGAGGTTTCCCTGGGGGACGGAAGGTGCTCTGAAACTGCGCGGTGGCGGGAGCTGCACGTCATGGAGGCGTGCTGCTGAGCGGAACCCACGCATGCCATGTGCGTCGTCTTTGCTGCTGAAAGAGCTGGTGGTGTGAGGAGTGAGCGCTCTCCGAACTTAGCACCTGGAGGCTCCTGCTGCTCCTGATGGAGCTGCAGTGGATGAACGTTGGGGACCGTGCAGCCATGGCTGGAAGTCAGAGTCCGGGCACGAGGGAAGGAGGGCGTGAGCACTTGCCTCCCAGGCGTCGTGTGCGGAAGGGGAAGGTGAGATGAAGGTGGCTGTGCAGGCAGGAAACACGTCCCGCCCGACCCCCTGTGCTAGTCCAGGCCCCCAGCCCCTCGCTAGCCGTGCAGGAAATCGAGGCACCAGGCCAGTGGGGTGGCTGTTACTTCCCAAGTAAGATGTAAATAGTTTAAAAATGGTCTCTGCTTGCCTCATGGGGATCACATGGATAAGAAAGCGCAGGCCCTTTGAAGTCAGCCAAGGCCGTTTGGAGCACGGTTATTTTGTTTGCTTTTTTTTCTCCAACTCCTTGGCCGGATTTGTTGGGAAAGGTCCGTCATTTGAGAACGGTTGTGGAGTGCCTGTGACAAACGGGGACTGGGAGGACAGGTGAGCAATCACACACTGACGGTGGCTTTTGAGAAGTGCTCCTGGGGTGCGTGGTGGAGGGGCATTTCACTTAGACTCAGGCAGTCAGGGACGGTTTCCAGGGGAGGTTAGCCAGAGAGCAGCCTTTCCATGTACGTTATCTTCCCGTTTTTTTGTTTTTAACTTGCGATCGTACGCACGTGCTCAGGAGAGAGAGAGAGAGGGAAAGTGAGAAAGCAACCCCAGGGGAAATGGCCACATGGCCATCCCTTCTCCTACATTCTCCTTTCAGGATTTTGGGCATGTACACACATACACCCAGCATGCATGCACATACACCCAGCATGCATGCACATACATCGTGGCATGCATGCACATATGCCCAGCGTGCATGTGCATACTCCGGCATGCATGCACATACACCTGGCATGCTTTTCGGGCTGCTGGGTTTTGGGCTGCTGGGTCCAGGACTTGAGCCTGTGGGATCTACCACCTTAACCTCCACACCACAGGCTGACCCCGATTTATTTTTTAGTGAGAAAGAAAGAGGAATGCTTGACAGGGCCTCACCGTGCCTTGGTCCTCCTGCCCCAGCTTCTCAGTTAGCCAGGTCCACAGGTGCACAGCACCACATCTGGCCTACTTAGGGGAGGCTGGGACTCCAACCTGGGCCTACTGTGGAGCCTGAGCCTCCACGAAGCACCGTGTCCCTGCACGTACGGCAGTGTGGGAGCCCCACTTGCGTTATTCTGTTGACCCTCACCTTTACCCTGTACGAGAAGGTGTGGTTGTCCTCACTTTACAGCTTAGGAAACTGAGGGTCAGAGAGCTTAAAGGACTTTGCAGAGACAAGCTGGTATGTGGCGGTTAGAATATAGCCTACTACTTCTTTGAACAGTACAAGACTATGCTTTTTAACATCTTTTTTCTGATTACAGAAAAACTTATACATGACCATTGTTGACATTGTAGAAAATATAGAAAAAAATACTAAAAAGATTCAAAATTATTCATGACCTTAACACTGCAAATAAGTTAGTATATAGTTGTCCAGCCTCAAAATTGGGTTATACATTCTTATAAGCTGTTTTCCATAAAATATATGAATATTTCCCACATTATTAGTATATATTCTCCAATGTAATCATGATGGTTATCAGATATTCTCTTTGTCATGCACTAGAATTATCTTCCCAATTGCACAGCTGAACCTTCAGGGTACCCCCCCCCACCCCCACCCCCAGATGTTTGTTTTTGCAGATCAGTCTTTGTCTCAGTCTTCTGTGACTTTTTCGAGTGTAATCTAAGGAATTTATGGGTGGGACGATGATTTGACCTCCCAGTTGTCTTGAAAAGGTCGTTCCAATTACACCTTCATACAGACTGTGACTGTTTTCCTGCTGGCTGCAAATCTCGTCCTTCCAGCTAATCCACGCGACGCTTACCACATAAACGTTTGAGCTTTCGTTTCTTTAGTGTTGATGTTGAATTTTCAATGTTTGCGTCATTCTTTCTACAGTACATGCACTTGTTTCTCCTGTGAGCAGGAGAGAGACAGCGTCTTGTTGCCGCGGTGCCCCCAGCCTCAGCCAGGCCTGGCCCCTGGGCGCAGGTGTGCCCCGCGTGCTCAGGGAGGCTGACGTGTGCCCAGGCCCCTCCTGTGTGTGGTGCCCATGGAGGGTTACCTTTTACCACGTGGCCCCAGTGATGGTTTTACCAAGCGCCAAAATATGTGATACAGATTAGAAGTGCACTGAGCACTTAAAGATGCAGTGTCTTGGGACCAGCAGTTAGCGTAATGGCTGTGTCGCTGGACTCCCACGTAGTCGACCGCGGTTCGAGTCCAGACCCAGTGGCTTAAAACTCACGCCGGGCACATGTGCATGCGTGCCCAAGATCCTGAGAGGAGAATGGAGGAGAAGGGATTGCGGCGTGGCCATCACCCCTGGGGGGTGAGTTCTCACTTTCTGTCTCTCTGTCTTTCTCTGTCTGTCTAGCGAGTGCACACGCCCTATGGCAAAAACCTCTCAAAAAAAAAAAAAATGCAGCGTCTTTGTGGAACAGAGGTGGCAGGGAGGATTCGTTTGCTACACCCTCTGACCTGTTGTCGGGAAGGGTAACTGGACGCTGTGTACGGTCATGCCAAGGAAGGAGGCGATGGGAAGGACTCACTCCCTCAATAATCGTGCTCTTCTCACTAGGTTCTCAAAGGTGGACAGGAGGCGCCCACCAAGCCCAAAGGCCGGCCCAAGAAGAACTCGATCCCCACCTCAGAAGAGATTGAAGCGGAAGAGAAGATGAACAGCCAGGCCCAGAGCCAGGAGTGCCCCACACCCCCCCAGGGACAGCAGGAGCTCGGAGCACAGGACCCAAGCACAGGCGATGTGCCCTTGGAGGCAGCCAGGCCTCCAGGCCAGCCCCAGCAGTTACCAGCGGCCTCTTTGGAACCCCCACCACTAAGCTAAAATGAAACTCTTTCAGGGCAAGGGGAGATTGGGGAGCACAGGAAAGAGAGCAGGCAGGGCAGACTTCGGATGGCCGGTCAACACTGAGAGGTCAGCTGCCTCCTTCCCTCCCACAGTTCCCAGTGGCGTTTTCAGTGCAAGCATTTGACAAAGACTTGCTTATCTTAGGCCTTCTCTTCCTAAAAGGCTGTATTAGCCACTGGTGGGGCTGGAAACGGAAGTCTGTCTGTGCCACAATCCTACCCCGGCCAGCAGGGCGGTGCTCCAGCCTCCCCCACTAGCTTTGGTCTCCAGTCCTTGATGCAGAGAGCTAAGGGGCGGCATGCCCAGAGGCCTGCTGACTCAGCACTTATTTCTGTAGTTTTAAAAAAGAATTTAATGTTTTTGGTTGTTGTTGTTGTTTTTTGTTTTGTTTTTTTTTTGCCTTTTTTTTTTTTTTTTTGGAGTGGGGTGGGGTTGGTGAGGGTGGGAAAATAAGACTTGGAGGACAGGCGTTCCGAGTTACTGGAACTGTGTCTGAACTGAGTCTGTGTGTTTGAAGACACGTGTGCCTTTGTATCCATTTTAGGACAGTCAGGTGCCCTGGGGTGGACTGAGCCTTGCTCTTGCTTTGTTAAGCTGCCATCCCCGAAGCTGCAATGCAGATGTGTTAAGATAACTTTTATTTTTTAATTAAAAATACATCTTTCCAAAGGACCGAGTGTTTTGCTTCTTCTGGGAGTGTACGTGTCTTACTCTGCTCTTGTGCTGCTAAAGAAGTACCTACGAAACGGATATAAATACTTTGTACATGTATAACCCTATGAAGAGTGGAGGTTTATTTGGCTTACTGTTCTGAGCTAGGAAGTCCAGAGGCGTGGGGCTGACCCCAGGGAGCCTCTGTTGTACATCATGACGAGGTCGACCGAGGCAGAGGGGGTGGGGTGTGTACCAAGAGAGACCTGCCTGGGGCGCCCCCTTCCCTTCTAACAACCAGCTCTCGCAGGAACCAGCCCCCTCTTGCTAGAGCTGGGACTCACTCTGTCTCACCAGACATCACTAATCCAGTCATGAGGGGGATGTCCCCATGATCTATACCCCGCTCCATGGACGTCACCTCCTAAAAGTCTCACCACCTCCCAGCGCCATGACGCTGGGACCGAATTTCAAAACATGAACCTTTGGGGGACAAGCCATTACCTCAATCATAGCAGTATCTGGTCCTTCCTCAATGTTCCTGGGGAAAGAGGCCTGCAGAGCTAGCCAGGACCCCAGCTGTGTTTCCCCACCGATAAAACACCACTGGCATGCAAACGCAGGGAGAGCGGACACGCCACCGAGGCCACAGGTGAGGGAGGAGCCGCGGAGCTGTCTGTCACCTCCAGCCCTCCCACTGCCTCCTGCCTGAGCAGCACCATGTCAGCTGCTTGGTACCCTGGGATGTCAGCCTCCAAAGCCTTCGCTGTTCTGAAGAGGTCGTAAATGCACACGATTCCAAAGTTAGAACCACACAGGAGTCTTCCTCTCACCCCATCCCTGTCCCCCATCACTTCTAGGTGAGCAGTTGCATTAATTTTCTTTGATTTTTCTAGCATTTATTACGTGTCCATATGGGTGGTGGGTCCTACGACTTCTAACCAAAGGTCTGAGGTACTACCTGGCTAGCTGTGCTGGGTGCCTTGACTTCTTGTTGTATTTTTCTCTTGAAGCTTACTCATTTATTTCCTTTATGAGAGAAAGAAAGGGAGGAGGAAGAGAGAGAGCAGCACCTTCAACAGGACCTTCACTCCACGACCTCCTCCAGCCCTGTAGCAAGCCAGGGTCGCAGACCTGTCTGGCTCTTCGGTAGACCTGGGGTGCAGACCCAGAGCCTTCCACGTGGCTTCCAGCACTTGGCTCACACCATTGCAGCTGGTCATGTGCTCGGTCATTTTAGGTGTAGAAATGACGCCCACCCCCACCCCCTTTATTTTGCCGTAGGGCACATGTACTTGCCAGAGAAACACCCCCTCCCCGGGGGATGGCTATGCCACAATCCCTTCTCCCCCATTCTCCTCCTGGGATTCTGGACACAGGTGCACACATGTCCCATGCGACTTTCAGGCCACGAGGTCTGGGACTCAAGCCACGGTCAGCCACGTGGGAGTCCAGTGCCTTAGTCACCACACCACCTGCTGGTCCTGATGTCCCATTTTTAATAAGGTCAAGGGAGAAGTAGGCTTCAGCCTTCCCAAAGAGAGGACTTCACCTTCATTTTATGTCTGACTCATGTGCTGGCCCAGAGGCCCGACCTCACAGGGTCACACTTGTGGGTCTGTCCCTGGCACGCTCACCTTGATGCCCTCCAGGACAGCGTGCCCACGTCGGTTGGCCATGACACAGTAACCGCCGAGTTGCCGGCTTGCAGAATACCCACCGACTCCCACCGGGCCTGAGCTAGGAAGCAAACCTGGTTACGGGTTCTGCAGACAATTGTGCAATTCATTCCAAAGCTCAACAGGAAAGAGCTGCCTGTTGTCAGTCATCTGGCCGCCCGCTTCCCCCGTGAACACCGCCGGCAGAGAGGGACTGCAGTCTGACTTTCAGAGCAACAAAGAGAAAACAGTCTTTTTCTTAACTCTTGTGAATAGACAAAGGAGTTGGAGACGTGGCCTGGAGAACCAGTTCGTGAGGCCACACCCAGGCGCCTGTGCGAGGTCCCTGTACAGAGCATGTGAGAAGCTGCCCCCACACCTCCGGCCTCTGCTACCAGGTGGTCCCCATGAGCTCCGGAGCACGCACAGGCTACAGTCAGGCAGACCTGTGCTTGCCGGCTCTCACTCCTAAGGACCCGTCCTGGCCCCTTTGCCTCACCGAGAGGCCTGTCACTTGCTGGTTTCTCGCGATGGTTTTGGTCTCTTGCCCCGCGCGCCTGTGGGTGCCAGCGCACACACCCATGGGGGCTGTTAAGGACTGCAGCTCTTATTCTGTGGCCGTGGCTTGCTTCCTGCCTGTAGGGCCGAAGGTACTTCCCTGGTGGACTTCCGCGCTCAGGTATCCCTCCCGATGTGTTGGAAGGCCCCAGGTCACCTCCACAACTACGCTCTCGGTTGTTCTCGGGCCTCAGCTTTGCCTGGCTTTGCCCAGTGACAGAAAGGCAGGACCGGCTGGGCCTTGAAGGAAATTATTCTTATTTTAAGTTTATTTATTCCGTGAATGAGGGAGGTAGCCAAGACAGTCAGAGGGACAGACAGACGGAGCCAGCAGGGCCACGGAGCCGCGACTCACGTCCAGCCTCAGCCGGCCCCCTGCCGTGAGTGCCCACGGAGGTCCCAGGTACCGACCCAGAGTCCTCTCAGGTGGGCACGGAGCATTGCCGTCCACTGCCGTGCCACTGTCCGTGCCCCCAAGCTACTCTTCATTGACAAGTGACAAGTGCGTATATTTAACATGATGTTTAGAAATATGTGCACATTGAGGAATGGCGGGATCAGGTGGATTCACACTGAACCACTTCAGGATCGAGCGCGTAAGATCTGCTCTCAGCAGCTAGTCAGCGTGTGCTCTTGACCACAGAGCTGGACAACAGCGCTCCCACCCTTCAACCGACTGCCCCTGCTCCCCTCCGACCTCACCCCGGCCGCGGCCACCACGCCCTGCTCTCTGCTTCTGTGAGTTCTGGTCTGGAGTCCACACGTGGGTGAGACCGTGTGCGTGTCCCCGCCCAGCTTATCTCACTCAGTGTCACGTCCTCCAGGTCCGCCCGTGTTGTCCCGAATGGCGGAACTGCCTTCTCTTTTAAGAGTGAATGATGTTTCGTTGAGCATACGTGGATCTTCAGAAAATTATTGGAGAATGCAGATTATCAGTGAGCTACGTGGGTTTCAAGATATTTTTGTGCTTTAATCCTGCTCCTTGTACTTGCCGTGACCTTTCTGAAGCCCCCTTGCATGGACCACGTGATCTCATCCACCTGCCTGCTGACGGCCACCCTGGCACGTGTGTCATGCTCAGAGGACACCGGAGTGCAGGTCCCGCCCTCACACGGCCATGGGATTTCCTGCGGTGAACACGCAGAGTGGCAGTGCTGGGTCACGTGGCCATGAAGTGTGTGTTAAAGACCGTCCAGGTCTCCCCAGTTGCCGCCCGAGTCAGTCCTGCAGGTGATACTAAACCTTCCCTCGGACACTGGGCGACAGAGGCGTTGGGGTGTGCAGCTGACCCGCGCTCTGCCCGAACACTCGCTCCCAGGAGTTGGACGCACGCGATTCCTGGGTTTGCGGAAGCCCCGAGCGTGCTGTTGCTCGTGTGAACAGCCACCCCAGGCCCCTGCTCCTGCTCGGTGTCATGCCGCCTGTTGTCTGCCCCAGGAAGAGGGGGGTGTCTCTCCTTGCCTTCGCCTCCTCTAACACGGCTCTGAGAGGCCACATGCTAGTTTGAAGTCACCTCTTCCTGCCAGGGCCCCTGAACTAGCGTCAGCACTTTCCAGTCTAACCTGTTCACTCCTCACTGCTCCCTCTTAGTGCATCTTTGGTAATCGCCGCCGTGGCCCCGCCATTTTCCCAGGCAGGACGTGGACACGCTTCGATTCCCTGCTGCACCACAGATGCCTGGAGGCTGTTTCCCGGTCTGTGTGTCCCAGGCTCATTTTCCTCTCCGAGCTCTCCAAAGGCCCAGAGACGGGCAGCAGGGAGGTCTGGACCCTCTGGCTTCTGCTGCTGTCTTTCTCGAGGCCCAGAGGCTTCGACTCTCAGCAGTGTGTGTGCTCAGCCCTGCTCTGAACCGTAGTCTCAGGTTACCGGGACAATCAGGCTCCATGTTTGCCTAGGAAAATATATGGCTTCCCAACCACCCAGTAGCTCTCCGACCCTTTGGCCATGACCAGGGCAGCACTCCTGGCAGCAGGACTGGGCTTGCCAGCCCCCGTCTGAGACCAGAGGGGCAAGAGAGCAAACGGGGACCACGCCAGCCCGTTTCCCCAGGGGACTTTGCGAAGAGAACTGAGGCTGATGTGGTCCACACTTGCAGGCCACAGGTCCATTCACCACCTGGTTTGCTAACTCCTTTTGGGAACAGGCGTTGCCAGGCCGTCTAGAACGCTCCCTCCAGGGATTGTGTGGTGTCGCTGTGACAGCCAGGCAAGGACAGTGCCCGTGCACGCATTGGTCTGAGAGAAAATTAGAACCTTGCCTAGACCTGAATCGCAGGTGGCAGCTGGAGGCAAGTTGTGAGGCCGGTCGGACCTTGCGTTGGCGGGGCCGAGGGGGCCGAGTCCCTCCAAGTGAGTGGCAGGGTGGGAGCTGCCTGGGCGCTCAGCTCCGAGGACTGGATACAAATCTAAAGCAGAATGGGCCGTAGTTATGCGTGCGATCCATTTCACAGACAGGGAAACGGGGCAAGATGGTGGCGGCTTGGGAGAGGGG